AACTGCCTTTCTGTGCTCACAACTTGATCAAGTTTATTATTTTGCATCAATACCATTAAAAAAGGTACAAACCTGCGTGTTTGTAACCTCCCACTGACGGCTATGCTGTTGTTGGGGAAAGAGAATATGGTAGTAAGCTGCACTCAAAAAAAAGAGCTTGGAAGAAAAGATTCTGATGCTCTTCCTCGTCATTGTGTTACTTACTCTAGTGTGGTCCTAGAGCATAGTGCAGTTTAGCTCATTTCGGGTAGGGGAGAGATGCAGAAGTTTTAAATAACAACCTTGCATGCTTAATGCAAACCCCTCGCCAAAGGGAACTGAAAATTCAAGAAGAAATGTGTGATGTTTGTAAAAGACGTTGTGCAATACCTACTTACAATACAAACTGTGTTCAGGAGTAGCAGTGATAGATGATTTATGAAGAATCCAAAGGGGAAGTAGAAATGGGGCAGAGGGAATGAAATCTGTCAGATGAAAGTGTTTTGTAGGTTGGTTTTGTTTGCTTTGAAGGCAGTTGTGTCCTTCATTCCCCAACACTGGGGGTGGGCCTGGAAAAAACTTGCTTTATGTGTCTGGGAGGAAGAGAAGTTGCTTAAATTTGGCTCCTTTTCTGCATTTGGGGTGGGAGATGGGAAAGGGACTATAATGCCCACCAACTTTTGGGGTGTTTTTTTTTTTTGTAACTGGAAGCAAGTTGAAGCAAAAGTAATAAGAGTAAATGGACAGTGTAAGAAAGTTGCGTAAAAGATAAAGACAGTGGGAGAAAGCACAGGGAGAAGTAAAGTAACAAATACTTGAAGTTAAATGGCCATTTGTTGGGGGGGGACACCAAACCAAAAAAGTAATTACCTATTTAGAGTCCAATCTTCTTAAATGTTGTGCTGTATTTGAACAATTTTTCACATAAAGATGCTTGTTTATAAAAAAATACATAGGAGGTCTCAAGAAAGATTTAAGATTCTGATTTATTTAATAAAATTATTTACGATGTAATAGTAATCCTGCCTTAGAAACTTGAAACTATCTAGTAAAATGAATGCTAGATTTGAATTTGATTAGAGCAGGGTTACATTTTGTTTGTCTTTAAACTCTTTAACAGTCTTAAGGCTGTCTTATGGAAGCTTTAAAAATTGCAGTAAATTAACACTGATAGGTAGGACAGTGTAAGCATAATGCTAACGTGACTGGGATTCATAAAATATAGTGTGTGTCTTAAGGTCAACCTTCATGACATTCAGATAATGATCTTCCATTTTTTATTTTAGAAGTTTTGCCTTTTAGTGTCTGCAGTTAGTGCAGAAGTTTCTATGGTATTTTTATTTATTTTTAGAATAGTCCAACAAACTTAAAATGAGAGAATATAGCACAAATGTAAATTATTTGATTTCTGGAAGTGTAACTGTAAATATGTTCCTCTATTTTAAGTAGAAGGTGTGAATATGTTGTTATGTACCAGAACCAGAGTTCAGTTTTTATCAGCAGTGATCAATAACATCAGTCATTTAATGCAGCATTCATCCAGCCCCTTTGTACGCAACAAGGTTGCTGTGATGTCAGTTTTTGCAGAAGAATGCAGCAGTTGTTTCCAGATTGAACAAGTAAGTGAAGAAGGAAATGTTTCAAAGCATAATGGTAAACCTCAATCTATCAAAGACTTTGAATGCAATGTTTTCCTCAAACTCACTTTAAAAAAAGTTATGAGAATTATTACTTTGATCTATACCTCAGTAGAAATGTAACCTGAAATTATTTACTTAAGAGTAAATTTAGTTTATTCCAAGCAGTGGTCACTTTGGAGTGCTTTAATTGAAGAAACTGAAGTAGAGAGAGAAGGTATGTCTGCATGTTTCATAATTTTCATTTGTGTAGGTTTGAAGTTACAAAAAAAAAAAAATCACTTACAAAAAAGCAGCCATAATTGGAAACTTGCAATATGTAGTGTATAGGGACCTCATGGTATTTGTTAAGAGTATGTCACTAGTTCAGATCTAGAGGTTGGTTATTGGATGATGACCTACATGAAATAATTTGGTCAATATAGAGTTTGTAGCTCCTGGGTTTCAATGTTGTAGTTGATGTTAGTAGTTATAGGAGACAGATCAAGAACAGGTCATCAGTAACTAATATGGTTTACTTAGATTGTAGTCACAGCAGAAAAGCAAAGGGTGGTGACAGTGCTGAGTTGTAAGGTGGGTGCTGAAAGTTTACATGAGTTCAGCATGCAGCTGGACAAATTCCTGGAGGAAAAAAGTCCATCAGAGGTCTTACTATTAGAGAAATTACCTCAGTATTCAGGAAGTCCTTGAGTGGCAAATTAGTGGAGACTACAAGAGTATTTTGAGGAAATACCATTACATGCTTGGCTTGGTTTAGCTCTTCTCCATTTGTGTTTCAGAAGCCACCCTCAGAGACAGGTTAAGGATGAGATGAACCTTTGATCTGACTGAGTATAACTGTCATGTTCAGTTTCCTACCAGTGTAGTGTTTAAAAAAAAATAATAATTTTTTAAAAATCAATACATCTAATATGCATTTAGTATTTTCTAATGTATAAAGGTATATGTGAACAGTGCAATTGTTTTGTCAATTAATAAACAACAATTCTGTTTAGTGCTTTCATAAATACTAGGTTTGTGACTGAGAAGCATCTGTGGGTTATAACTGAAACTGTGCAAGTTTCCTGCCTGAGGGGAAACTCATCTGCTGAAGCAAGTGGTAGAAATAATTTGGCTACTGCAGCGGAATTGCATTTGGTTAGACTGGTAGATGGGTACTAATACAGTGATAGAGAGTTAATTCTGGGACAGAGCTGTGGTGACATGGTTTTTTTTCTCCCTATGCTACTAATGTTTTTGGCTATGTTTTGTTGGAGGTGTAACTGCGCTGCTGCAGAGGGAATAGAATAGGATCTTTGTGGGGGAGGTTGGTTTTCATCTCCCTGTGTTAATAGCCACAGTACATTGCATCACGAACTTCCTGCATTTTTCTGCGTTTTGAATGCTTTGTGACATTAGGAGGCTATTTGCAGAGCTTACTTCAGTCATATAACTTAATAAAATTTGGCTTTTTACTGTGATCCTCTGTCTAATGCTGTAGAATGTTGTAAAACTGTATGGAAGGTTTTTGGGCATCTCTGTTTGGGTAATTAAAGCAGATAGCACAAAGGTTTATTTCCTCTTTTCTCTGTTCTCCCAACCCCCTAAACACTTAGTACCAATGGTATTTGGATTAGTGGAAGTATAGTATAGATAGATGTTCCAGGTAATTTGTTACATTACTGTGATCATGCCTGCACTATATGAATAACTAAAGCTTTGTGATATTGCTGCCTGGGTAAAACTGTGAGCCCCTTGTCACCTTCCCATAGCTGACCCTGCTTTGGGTAGGTAAGGAACTAGAGACCCTTTGAGGCCCCTTCCAGTTTAATTGGTCCATGAAAGTGGTATTCCAGAGTATTATTTTTCAAATCATTGATTACTGTGCAAATTATTCAGCCAGGGAATAAAAATGTTTGGGGCAATGGCATTACTTAAAAAATAAAAAAAACCCCAAACACTAAAACAGTAGTTAATGTTGATTCTGTGTGGAATATTTTATATTGCATGAGTGTTTGCAAGTACCCTTTGAAAAGAGGGATTGGTGGAAAAGAGTGTGAGTCGTAAGAATGACAGTGGGGAAAGCACAACTTTAAAGGTGTCTGAAAAGCAAGAGGACCCGTAAAAAGTTTTTAATAGCAAAATTCTGAAACGGGAGTGGATAGGAAAGCATTATTCTGTAAGGAGAAACATTGCAACAGAACTAAAATTCTTAGCCTTTGTCAAACAATACTGGTATTAGACTTGGCTGTAAGGCATGGAAAAAAAAATCTTGGCCAAGTGCATCAGAATGAAACAGCTTGGGATGCCATCAGTTTCATTATTGCTTTTTGTGGTATCTGCATCCAGAAAATAGGGGCAGGAACAGAATTGCAGGTATCCTGTAAGATAGCTGGGAACAAAATAGGGAGAAATACGGAGATGCAAAATTTGAGTAGTTCTACAGCAGATGAAACCAATGTGAAATTTCCTGTTGATTTGTGTCTTAAGCTGGTTGGCTTTAAGGACTTCTTGCCACGATTCAATGATTTATAAAGATTATCCTGGTAATAAATCCATGGAGTACAATAATACGAGCTCAGGCTACTGTTTTCTTCTAGCTGTGACACGTAGTGTTCTTGGTCATGTTGGGTTACTTGTTTTTATGAAAATTCTACAGAATTTAATTATCTTTAAGACCTGTCCCTCCAAAAGACTGTAGTAACAGTTTCCTGCCCAGTGTCATGGATGAAAATTGATTTAAGTAGAAGAGTTCACAAGTGATTTTATAAGTGCTGAAACTGCTGGATTTTTCCAAGGGATTTGTTGCTAATATTGAAAGACCTTGAAGCATTCCTGGAGGCTTCCTGTTCTAGAACTGGAAACACCCTATTCTTACCTACCTCTCAAGATCAGAGGTTTTGTGATGAAATGGTACTTTTTAGATGTAAATGGATTTTCAAAATGAAAGGTAGAGATGCAGTTGCTGGTCTCTCTACAGCTGCTTAGGTATTTGAGCTGAATGATTTGTGCAGAACAGAAATGAGTACTGGTTCAGAGTTTGTGCCCAATTGAAAATTGCACCTTTGTTTAAGCTAGTGAAATTATCTTCGAAGATTCTGTGGATATGTCCCAAAACAAAATAGATTCTATTTTTCAGTTTACTGTGTCAATCTCATCTGCAAGGGAGCGCTTTCTGATTTTGCTAAAATGACTGGATTAAAGAAGCTACTAGGTTTTCAGTGGAAAACCAGCATGGTAGAACTATATAGCTGAAACACTAACTTTTCAGGACTACTTATGTACACATTATTGGAAAACTTCTAACTTAAACCTAACAGCATTTTTAAAAATACTGGACTTACTCATGACTTGACTTCTTGAAGTGTCTGTTCAGTTGTTTCTCGATTTGTAGCAATCTGGATGCATCTTGCACAGAGGGCTTTTAAACATCAAAGTTCATGTGTTTTTTCTTGCTAAGGAGTTTTCCTGCTGTGGCAAATATCTTGCTATGAATTCCTTTCCGGATGATTAGTACTTTCCATAGTATATTACTACTGTCTTATTTTTGCTAAGTTTCCCCAGTTATCCAATAAAACTGCTACCATCTCTGGTATGCAGGCAAGATTTGTTCATTTTTTTTTAAGTTAGCTATCATTCAATGTTAGGCAAATGCCTTTTAAAAAAAAAAATAAAAATGGGAAAATAACCATGGAGTTATTGTGAAAGTTACACTTGTTTTGAGGAAGCTCTGGCTACTGTATGTCAGGGCATGACTTTATAAGGAATGCAGGAAATGGGTCTGACTTGTTATCATTGCTTCTGTATTTAGTGCTTGGACTCTAGGGAATTTATGTGCACTGATTTGTGATAACTATAAAGTATTTCTTAAGAATGAATTACTAAATAGTATGTTCTGTGCTTGTTTAGCACTAGAACAAATTATAAATAGAATGTTAAAAGCCTTGGGGTTTTTTTGAAAAGAAAATTGTGCAACTCATCTCAAGTAGAGAAGATTGTTAACATGTACATGAGCAGATGGTGAGATTGCCCCTGCTTAAAGTGACAGGATTTATCTCTAATAAAGTCATCCCTTGCTCATTAAAATAGGAAACTAATTTAGGTTTTGTGAGTCTTTGTCCTGGTAGAGATATAATATCCTGTATTGATTCTCCTGAGGTTTCTTACCAGACACCAATAAATTCCTCATTAGAAATAAATTTCTTTATGGTTCAATTTTCTGTATTTGCTAGAGTAGTGGAGAGTGCTAGAGTAGTTCTTAGGGAAACTGCTAGACAGGAACCAGAGAAGGAGGTCTGTAAACTCATGTCTCATCATATCTAGTCAAATTCTTAAAAGAAAATATTGCTTAATGTTAACTAGTCCCACTGCGAGAGATAGATTACATTTTGTAAAGGCTGTAGATAAATCAAGTGGTTGAGATTTTTGGTGTGCTTTTAAACAAAGCAGGCATTATCGGCGAGTTACTGCTAGGGCAGTGTAAGTATGGTGACTTTGTATGTAAAGTGTGAATGTGCCCATTTAATTTAAAATTTTGAGGAGAATAAGTGGTGTAGGAGATTGTTTTATCACTTACAAATTTTTGTTATAATGCCTTCAGTTGCTTCTAGTTTTAATTTTATTAAAAAAAGAAAAAATTGACACATTCTTCGAGTGTTTGGAAAGAGCTCTTGAAGACAGAGATTGACAGTTGAAAACTGTTACTTAAAATAGTATGCAGCAGTTGAGAACAATCCTGACTCTTTGAGGATTACTCCTAGGTCTTCCATTGGTTTCAGTTGTTGCAAACTTCTTGTGAATTCCTATGGTATAGTCAGTAATGATTCAGGTATCTGTTTTTTCTGTTTCTGGGATTTGAATTGAAGCACATTCTTCTGAGTGTCCGAGTGGACTTACCACTGTTAGATGGGCCACATGGATTTTGCCCTTCTCTTTGTAAATGTTGGAGAAGTTTAAATTCTGCTCACTCTCTGCCTTTGAACTAAGAAGACTACAAAGTCAGAAGTTCAAAGTGAAGCTAAACTTATGGGAAAATGTTAACTGATACGGTTCACCTAGCATTTAAAAGAAGGTCTGTCTATATTTTAATCGTGCACAGGGAGCTTTTCTGATGTTTTATCATGTGAATTTACTGCTTAAAACTGACATGCAGGGTAAAGTTGTGCTAAAACTATTGGAATTTTAACAGATTTTTTTAAAATCAAGTTTTAGCTTCAAGCTGTTTCAAAACCATGGTCTACTTATAAAATTTGTCAGGAACTTATACACTGATTTGGTTTTAGAAGTTTCCCAAGGACTGGACTTAAATACAGTGATCAAATTAAGTGTATGTATGCTGATGAGACTGTCTTACAAAAGTAAAAATAAAATGGAACTTTTTCGATAGCTACTGATAATAATATTTTTCTGTCTTGAATGCTGGAAGTCACTGGATTTGTCAGTGCAAGTTTGCAGTCATACACTGACAGAAATGTGTCATGAAATTGTAAAATAAACAAGCAATTACTGAGCGATTGGGATTCTCTAGGTGTTAGGAATTAATGTCCTGCAGTAGCTGTGCACATGTTTGAGTGCTAAGGAATGTAGGTTTCTCTGCAGTTCTGACTTTGTGGAACAGTGACTTTTTGTGAGTACAGAGATCAAAGCTGTCAATTGCAGCAGGAAAATAAGGCTTCATACTTTTTTAAGGAGCCTGAGTTGTTGTTATAGTTACTTTGAAGACCATATAATCCTGATATTTTTTCCTTAATAAAAAGTAACTTGCTGCTGTAATTATCAAGCAGCACCAGAATGCGTTGATAATCTTTTTCACAGTTGTAGCCCAAACAGTCCTGAATAGTCTCAGAAAGTATGATCCTATTTTAGTTTTTTGAGTAAAATTCAGGAAAAAAACCCCCTGCTGCTATTTAGAATTCTTAGGCAACAGCAAGACTATGAAAACTGCACTTGCCCTGTGCTGCTGCTGCTTGGAAAAGCCACATGGGAGTTATTGAGAGGACTTCAAAAGTCAGTGTTCTTGCATCGGAATATTTGACATAGCAATTTTAACCAGCAGTAAGTTAATAAAGAGATTGGATATTGAGGCAGACTGAGCAGTTGGTGTAAAGTATATTAGGCTTCTTGTCAGGATGTTACCTGTGGCTAGTAGGCTTAGGCCATCTACAAAGTATTCAGTACATCTTTAGGAGAAGGTTTAGAATGACTGTCCTGCTAACAGGAGGATGGTAAGTAACCGATTGTACTGAGGACCACAGCTGTGCTGTAGCAGGACCAGGGACCTGCACTGTCTATAAAGGAAACCAGCAAAAAGGTTTGGGGTTTGTTTTCATTTTTATCAATTCTCCCAATTGGATTTGACACTCAGCTGTGCAAATAGGCAGTAGGTGGGACAGAACTTCTTTCTAATGGCAATAGTTGTGGCTTTAATGAACGTCAAACTCTGCAGCTTAATATAGTGTATGGGAAAGGATCTGGTGTCTGCTTTCTTCAGTAGACTTCATCTGTATTGAATATCATTATCTCATGGAATGGATACATGCTACTCACCTCCAAAGCTCCTTAAGCCTTTATTCCCCAGGACTTCAGATGTGTGGTTTTTGGGGTTTTATAACTTTAATCTGTCACTGTTTCAGTCTTTCTGAAGACACCCTCTTTGATTTAAATCTTGGTTTGGTACCTGTAACATCTTAATCTTAAAGTTTAACCTTGCTTTGCGAAGGTTTTCACCTGAATTCATGTTTTCAGACTTAATTGAAATGTATAGAACCTCTTATAAAGACGTCTCTCCTTCACAGTATAAGACACTGAAATGAAGTAGATAAAATAACAGCTTGGTCAGAGTCTTAAAGAATTTAAAGAATGTGTTAGAAATGTTCTTAACAGATTTCTATGTGGCGAGTCCACAGAAATACAGTCAGTTTTAGAGCACATGTCTCTGATCTGATTCAAGGAGAATAAAAAAACAAACCAAAACAATAAAAAGCTAAGAGGTGTGATAGCAAGAGAACATAAAAATAGACTTTTGCGTTATCTACGTTATTTGCTGCAAAGAACACTTTTACTTTGTAGATTATTGCATGAATTAAACCCATGATGACTTACATCTAAAGGGCTCATCTAGTACAGTGAAACTGTTTTAATGAGGACTGCTGTTTATGTAACTCTCCTAGCAGAAACTCATTATTCATGATTTTTATCTTGCTACTTGATATGCATTCTAGCTGTTGCTGGAAGACATCTCCTGGACTCAACTCTAACCTATCTGTGTGTAAAAGCTGTAGAATTAAGTAGAAATAATATTGAAAAATAACATAGTTCTTGTGGAAATCTCTTGTAAGATTATTTTAATAAAGAGGCACGGGTATTGTGGTGAATATGGAAAGTTGTATAATAGTACTGAGCACAAGATTGGAATTGGAGAAATGTAAGATGTCGTTTTCTTGGTGGTGGCCTTAAGCAAAAATGACCTTGCAGAGTTGCTTCCCCTACATAGTAGTGAATGACACTTCCTTTAAGGGGCTGTTAAAGGGATTACTTAATGAGTAGCTGTACATGAATTGCTCATTTTGCTTGTCCAAGAACTAGCATTTCGTAAGCATTATTTGTCTTGTTAAGGGGGTAAAGTACAATGATGTTTCCCAAAGGAAGGGAGGTCCTTCAGCATCATTATGACCACCGTCATCATGGCACAGCAGTTTGACAGGCCTATCTTTTTTTTAATATATTGAAGTAAACTGGAATTCCTCTTGATGGTGTGCTTTATCAGTGCTGGATATTTGTATAGTCTTTAGAAAGATTTCTGCTTCTGAGATTGAACCTGGCTAAGTGCACAGAATTGCTCAAATCTGCAAACAGTTAGGTACCTGAATGTGGCTTTTCTGCATCATAGGTTTAGCGGTGCAAAAATAAACCAAGTACTTACTCTGCCTAGTGCTAAGTTCTAGGAAGAAAAATAAATGGGTCTCATATAATTCAAAGGCTGTGAATTTAATTGTGTAGCTTCTCTTTTTAAGTTTGACTCCAAAAAAGTATTGGGTCTCTTTAAAATATTACATCCTGGATTTCTGAAGGACATGTGCAACCTTGTCAGTTTGTGACATACGACTTAGTAGTTCTCCACATATTGTTTCTTTTATGTGTTTCTAATGTTTCATTTCCTTTTCAGACCTGCTAAATCTATTCTGAAGCCAAGGGTGGACATTCAGTACAAGGGAAGTGTTGCTTCTTTAAATGGACATCTGCTCTTGCGGTATGGCCCAGATATCCAGTAGCAATGGATTTAAACAGCGCTCCTCACCTTCTCTGGCAGCCACCAGGTCAAAAGATGTGGACAAAGAGGAGGCGTTGCAGATGGAAGCTGAGGCATTAGCTAAGATGCAGAAAGAAAGAGGTGTAGCTGGTAATAAACAAACTTTTCATTCTTTAAGCAACACCAGACAAAAAGCAGAGACTCATAACAAACAGGACCATGATCTCATGGTGTTTCCAGAGTCTGATGCCAAGAGCATGGAAGATAAAATAAGTACCATTGACATAGAGAAGCTTACTCATGCTGAACTAGAGAAGCTGCTGCTGGATGACAGTTTTGAACCTAGTAAAGTACCTGCATTGCCAGCGAGTCCTATTTTGAGCCCATCTGTGTCTTCGCAATTTTATCTTGGGCCTACGGGTCAGAGAAGACAGTGGACGCCTGGGGTACCAGCACCTGTGACATGCACTTTACCTCCTATTTACGCCTCAGCTTCTTACACAAAACAGACTGGTGTATTTCAAAATGGATTCCATCCAAATATGTCCTGCTATCACTCTAGAGAACCTATTTATCTTGGTCTTCCAAGACAGTCGCAATACATTTCATACCCATTGGCAGCTACTACACCTTTCCATCCACAAAGAAGCCTACCTATATATCCTCCAGTACTTACACCAGAAATGGCAAAAGTATTTGACAAAATTGCAAGCACCTCGGAATTTCTGAAAAATGGGAAGTCAAGCACGGACTTGGAAATGACCGCTATAAAGTCTGCGGTCTCTAACCTACCAGACTCGGAAAGCTGCAGGGATGTTAGTAAATTTGATTGGTTAGATTTGGATCCCCTAAGTAAACCAAAAGTGGATAGTGTGGAGGCTTTAAATAAGGCAGAGAATGATGGAGAGAGGGCTTCAAGTATGACTGCTGAAGATCCATGGGATGCTGTGCTGTTAGAAGAAAAGCTGTTAGTAACTTGTCATCTGGAAAGAAAAGTTAATGGGAAATCTTCTGGAGCAACAGTTACAAGGAGCCAGTCCTTAAACATGCGAACAACTCAGCTTGCAAAGTTACAGGGCCAAACATCACAGGTATGTAAATCAGGATTTTTAAACTGCAGTATAATAGTAAAGATTAATTATAGTATTTAAAGACATTTAAGGTCTGGGTTTGTTTGTTGAATATTACTTGGCTTGAGCAGTGTCCAAATAATGTGATGTTACGGGCCTATGTATGTATTAGTGATATCCAGAAAATTGAACATAACTACTGAATTAAATCCCAAAGTAACTCTGGCCTTATGTAATCTTTCCACGTTTATGGAGGAAATTGCTGTTTTTCAACACACTACAAAAAGACATTGAAATAATCTTTAGAATAAGTATTTAAACCATCTCGATAAATATTTAAAATAATGAGCAATTCACATGATACTACAAAATAAAAAGATGGTGAGTTAGACAGCAAAAGCTTTATCTTGAGCAGCCTTTATCTCAGATTTTGAAAAAAATATTTTTTTACCTTATATTTGAACCTGTTAGCTTTTTTTTTTTTTTTTTTTTTTAAAAAAAAAAATGTAGCATAGAAAGGTGGCATAGTCAAAACTGTCCTCTGTTCTCCCAGTATCACTTGCAGTCTATCACCAGACCACTATAATTCTCTTTTTTAGGGAGGAATTTTTCCTTCTGTACAGGAAGGAAAACTGAACCTTTCGGTTATGCTGTTCTGGAAGGTGGGATACCTGTTGGGTCAGAAACCCTGTACTTCTGTCCTAGAAGAAGGAAAACCATCTTTGTGTGATGTTACTTTTATCAGGAGGGGCAAAAGGGTGATTACTGCTCTGGCATCAGGATCATTTTCATCAAAATTTCAAGACAAAAATGTCAACAGAGGCTTTAGTTATGACTAAATGTCCATCTTTTTGGACATTGAGCACATGCAATTTGTATCAGAACTAAACTGTATGGAAGATGATCAGTACTGTAGCAATCTCATCTGGTTAATTATGCATCCTGCCCTTTTCCAGGTCTAGTAAGTGACTGTAGATTATTTAACTTTTCTTATCATTTTAAATTCCATCGTGAAACAAGAAATTACGTTTTAAAATATTAGTGACCTCAATAGAAAGTGAATATGAATACTTCTGTGGTTTTATTTTTTTTTTTTTTTGTAGAGACAGTACAAAGGATGAAGGAGAAGTCTTCAGTGGAAAAGTCAACACCCTGGCAAGGGTGATAACGCCAGGAAAAATCATATTTGTAGAAACTGGTTAGAGGCTGGGGGAGTAAAAGATTTGTTTGCCTTGTAGACTTTGGATTGCAGCTGTTTTGAATCTTATGTATTGTCTTTCTAGGTGCCTTAATAGGATAGGACATGCCATAAAAAACAACTGTTATCAGTCAAGGATATTTTCCAAAATGCTCCTTAATTCTTCCCTCCCCTCCCAAACTGGGGGAGGTTTTTTTCTCAGAAAAAGGAATATTTACTAGACTTTGGCTTAAAGGGCTGTCTAAATTTCCATTGAAGTGAAATTTTTGGCCCCTCATTTGAAGGATTTCCTGTTTTTCTGGGCTAGTTGTCAGTATTCTGGCAGAAGTTTAATAGAAGACCAGTGGAGAAGGACCAAAAAAAACCCTAAACCCAGAAAAAGTCTTTACCTCTGTTTTGAGGGGATTGCAGTTTTAACATTACATGTGTGAAGATCTTGAGTCTAACTTCATTTTATTTTTTTCCACTCATTGAGCTGTGAGCTCAGTTATTTGCTAGTATTTGGAGAGGTGTGTAAATTTGGGCTCTACAGCAGTGTGCTTGTTCAGTTTGTCATGTTATCTAGTGGTGTGTGTCAGTTTTCCAGTAATATTTGGTTGATTGTGAAGTAACTAATGACTTCAGTAGCTAGACTGTTGGAACAGTGCTTCTGAGGTGCTGTCTGTAGAAAGTAATATTTGACTGTTGAAGAATGAATGTTTTTATAAATTCCAGGGTTTTTTTCAAGAATGCAGTATTTAAAAGGGTCTATCCTATCCATCAGGTCCAATCCCAGGCTATTTGCAGATCATATGTTAACTGATTCATGAAATGCTCAAGCTCTGCCTTCACGTGTGGTCTTTTCCTCCTGCTACTTTTGATTTAAAGGCTGTTCCAGACCCTTGCTGTCCTTGTCAGTCATCTGATTTTCAGCAGAAATGCATTTATCACTAGCTCTTAGCAAGTGTTCTTCTCAACAGGATGGAATATCAGGTGTTTAAGATGAAGGACCATTTTGATGTTTACCTGAACATTTATAAGAGACTGACTTCCTGTCAGCTTTCATTGCAAGCTCTCTGTGGTAGCTTCTCTTTCCTGTCACTTTTTTTTTTTTTGAAGAAGGCTTATGAGAATTTTAATTCTCTGTGTGAAAGAGCACAGTGTCCCATGTGCTTTGCACAGTGGCGTGAATAAACATTACAGGTAGGGGCATCCTGCTTGATACACTCTTATTGCATTTGCTTTGTTCATCAAGTCATCACAACAGCACATGTTGATCCTGTAGTCAATTAATATATCTGATTTTCTTAAGCCACCGTCTTTTTCAAACAAATTCTTAGTTTATAGCAGACCCCTGCAGTGAATGTCCAATTGAAGACTGGAGATTTACTTTCCACTTGTGTTCCTCCAGTCTGTGGTTTACTAGGTTTGGCATAACACTCCAGTTCTAGTCTGTATTGTGAAGCTGGCTGATGGTACAAAACTGCAAATTATCATCAGGGGTGTTTCTTCTGCTTCTGCTGAGTTATTAAAGAAGATAATAAATAGATCTAAAGAAAAGTCTCTCAAGCAGATAGATATCCTTTCAACATAACCTGCTTTATCTTTTGCCTATCCTGTGCTGCTACTTTGTTTTCTGGTTTAAATAGTTTTCCATCTGCTATAGTAGGAAGCTTGAGTTATTTAGCCTCTATTTTTGGCAGTTCTCTTGTTTTTTATCCCATTTACCTCCAGGTATTTATTTCCTTCAATGTATGTTCTGAAATCTTGCATCCTAACTAGTCTGGATTATTTTTCCCCCTGAATAACTCATAATCTCACTGCTCCTTTAAATGAAACTATTAGTAAAAATTTGTAGTCCTATATTTTATTTCTATCATTATATTTAATCCCTTGAATGAGTAGATTGCTTTGAGTTCTACTTCACCTTTGATGAAGTACCTATATGTTCAGTATGTCCTTTTAAATACTTCAGTGTTTGTCACTCTCCTTTCTGAAAGCAGAGGCAAAATCATTTTGTCCTATTTTAGGTTTTTTTTCTCTACCTTTCCTCTACACAAAACTGTAGAATCTTGTGGCTTTATATACTGATGGGATTTAATTTAATTTGACTTTTGGTAATTTACAGGTTTTTGAGTTTGTTTTTTATTGTTAAGAGTAATTGTATTTGCAGACCACTTCTGTTTTTGCAGACGCTGCTGATACAAACTATTTATCTGGTCTGGCCTGAAGTAGTTTCTTACAAGTTATTTCCTGTTTGACTGATAGCTTCTACACCTGCTATATTTGCTCATCTGGAAGTTAAAGAAATTCAAATCCTATTTGTTGCTCAAATCCCTAATCATCTGAGACCAGTGGATTTTAAATAGATTTCTTAGTTTATCAAAGCTTGCCTTCCTGAAAATCTCTTCCAAAAGGTGATTAAAAAAATAGTATTGAAACTAAACTAAAAAAAACAGGGAGGCATTTAATGTTCTTAATTTTCTCCCAGAGGTAATTTCTAGCAGTACATATTTGAATTAACATTAGGTTTCTCTCCTTAGCCAAATGTAGCCCTAAGGTCAGTTATGGGTAATGAAATACACCTTTTTTTTTTTTTTTCTTTGCTCATTACATTGGAATTTATTGTTTACCCTGGCTAAGCTTGCATGTCTAGAAATGCCTTGTAGTTCCCTAAACTACTTTGAATTTAACAGCAGAATAACCTGCAAATTTTTCTGTAAATAATTCAGAAGTGTCACATAGTGGCATAAAGTGGCAATGTTGCATCACTGGTGTGACTTTAAGTAATCCTCTTGGGTATTGCTTTTATACTCTGGTTAGAGTTGCCAAGTGCTTTGAGTACTTATTTGTAGTATTAGTTCTTTAAAAGGAGTTCTTAAATAGAGGAAAATTAATATTTGTATAGCCAGCTTCTTGGTTTGAAATGATTGAGTATTGTGTTGATTGCTGAGCAGCAGTTAGCTGAATCTCTGTCAAAGGTGTTTACCTTTCACTTAGTGTGGTAACTTCCCGTTTCCTTGTATGATTTTTATTTTGTTGTTTTATTATTGTGTAATTGCTTAAAGAATACATGTACTAGATACAACTGCACAGGTTTGTCAGCAGGTCTTGTGCAGTGGCCCAGAAGTATTTTTATGTGATACAACTTAGAATGGAAGAACCTTTAAGGTATTATATATAGAGGCTCCTGAATCTCATTCCAGGTTTTGTGACTTCACAGCTTCCTGCTCTAATTAGTTCCTATGGTATGGCTAGTTCCTAATTATATAGAATTTATCCTTTTGAACTGATCAGTGTTCATGAAACCAATATTTTAGCTGAAATAACTAGGTTTAAACACTATTCAAGTGGCCATTATGGGTTTCATGTATTATCCCTTCTAAGTTAATGCTATACTGCTTAAACAAGTTAATTGGAGCAAAAAAAAAAAAGAAAATCTAAAAGGAAAAGACCTGCCAGTCTCTAGCTCTGTGTGTTACATATTTGACCCCTTTTCTGAGACAGTCTAATTTGACTATATTGTCTGATATGCTCTAATAAAGTCAGATGCTCAGCTAACTTTGTCAGCTAATAATAAATAACCCACATACTAGTTAAGTAGTTATTCACTATTTCAAGTATGAATAAATTGATATGATTTTCACAACAACTGCGGTGCAGTCTGCTTTCCTGGGTTTTTTTGTTTGGTTGGTTTTTTCCTCCCCCTGGACTTCTGAGTGGATTAAAGATTTCTATAAGCATTGTAAAAGCTCTGGATGTAAAAATGTAACTGGTCAGAAGATATTGCTTTATCCTCTGTGCACAATGACCCTAGGTTGGACATGAGCAAACTTCAAGATCAGTTTATTCCCAGGAGTATCCAGCTGGAGTTTCATGAGTGCTTTAGGCTAGTGGTGGCTGTTGGAGGAGAGAGGAATTGAGTTCCACCTCAACCCACTGCTTGTTCCAGCTGCTCTTTGCTTACACTAGCATTTGTGTGGCTCTATTGTGAATTCCATCAGGAACAGATATGGAGTAAAAACTGCTGCAGTTTTATCTTGGGACTTTTTTTTTTAAGATTATTAGATTTTGTTATTTGAAACTGCAGTTCTCTTTTAGCAATTGTTTTTTAGATTGGATACTTCAAATAATGTGGTTTATGTTTTTGGGAGCTTGTGAGTGCATATGGCATAAGGGATTAAAACAGCAGTAATTTTATACCATGAGATTAGTTCTGAGTTTAGTCTTCTGAATGCTACTTCCTTCCAGTGTAGGATTTATCTTTTCCTGCTTTGAAGGAAAAGGCAGTCATGGGCAGAACTGAAGCCTAATGCTTCTTTCCGAAACTACTGAAGGCTGAATCACAGAATTGAAGGAAAAAACATTTGTCTGTCTTCCTCCTCTGGTTCAGCAAAATCTAGCCAAATTCTAACGCAACAGGTGACTGCTGAGAGCTCAGGAACTTTTGTGCTTGCAGCATAATCTTAACTGGTAGTGATGCTGTCAAATAAATTACCTTCCGTAAAGGAGTCACTGGTCCAGTGAATCTGTACTTTTCAACTTAGTAATGATAGAAGTAGACATAAAACTAATAGTAAACCTCAAACTCCTGAAAATCTATCATCTACACATGGCTTTGCTGGCTATAGGAATGTTTGCAGCTATTTAAATACTGTATTATCTTTGAGTTGCAGAAAGACAATGGGACCACTGGCATACTGACAGAAAACGTGCTTCTCCAAGAAATTGAAGGGCAGAATCCAGAACTGTCAGCTTTTTCTCAAGCAGTTACAAAGTAAGAAATTACTGAACACAAATTAGCTTTCAGACAAAAAAAAAGGCTGAATTGCTCATTTTCAGTTAGGTTGACAGGACCAGTCCTGCATTTTTTGCTTGATTTCACTATGTGTCTTTTTTTCCTTTTCTTATCCCGGTTTTTCCTGTTTTTGTCTCGTTTTTTTTCAAGAATGCAACAGAATTGTTACAGTATTCAGTACTAAGGCTTTTGAATTATCATATGTCTTTATTCTTTTGGTCCTGTGACTTTCCTCTCACTTTTTCCCTTGTTTTTATAATACTTTTTTATCCTCAAACTGTATTTCCATATATCTGTATCTCCTTCTTCTATATATTTTTAAATATAATTTATTTTGAAAGAATTTGAAATATTTCCTTTCTTAGTTGATGCACCTCACGAAATCCTGTCACTCAGTTGCTTTCAAACCCTTAAATGCTCTCATTTTTATTGCTTCCACAATTATAATTCTGTACCAAATAAAGCCTTCGAACTTGGTGCTGCTTTGATCAGATGGTGAAGTTAAATCAAAGATGGGACTTGATAACCCAGAATGCTCTTTTTTTCTTTTGTTTACTGCCACAATTTAATAAGATTGACTTTTTTTTTTTGCTTTCTTCCTAGAGAAGGCATCCTAGGAGTCTTGCCTTTTTTTCTTCTCAAGATCAAAATCCAAGAACTAATGGGGGAAATGGAGATCTTTGAAGGATAACAGCTACTTTTTAAAATAGGGATGTTTATGCAATGAAAAGCAAATTCCATAAAACCAGTGAGAAGTCACATACCTGTAAAACTTACTGACAAAACTCACATAAAATAGGCTTTTTGAAACAGTTTCTAGTTAAATCTAATTGTTGCCTGTTTTTCAAGACCCAGTGCTTAAAATGCTGATGAACTTGTGACTGGACAGCTCTTGCTAGAGGGATTCCCCCCCCACCCCAATTTCTTGAAATCAAGAAATTCCTGATTTCTTGTCAGGAATCAAGATGGTGAAATAGATGACTGTTAGAAATAAGTTCTGTTCTTAATCTCCTAGAATACTACTTTAATGTTGGCAGAAGGTTGAGGTTAAATTATTTTATCTATGTTAAATAGCAGAAAATAAAACGCAGCTATGAAACTACTGTCTGTTCATTACTAGATGGGTGTTTTATACTGTTTGTGTCTTTAAAAAAAGCCTTTCTCTTAATTTAGGCTTCTTTCTGAGCTTCCAGAACTTGGAATAACTACCTTCTGCGTAATATCTTAAATTCAAATTAGACTTCCAAAAAATGTAGAGAGTTTTGTAGTATCTTTTACATAAAAGAAATTGCCCTTTTTAAAACTGATTTTTAGCAGATGCCATGGATTAGCTTTTTAAAAACTGTTTTAGAGTTTAGCTTCTACAGAAGCTGGATATGTCCTGTAAGCATTGACCTATTAAATATTTTAACATATATGGAAAACCTGACTAATTATAAGCTAGGTTCTTTTCCCCTTCTAACTACTACTTGTGTAATTATTGTGTGCAGTGTTCTGTTGAGAGTAGAAAAATTAAATGGTGTTTTGTACATACAATTTAGGTAAAGAGCAAAAGGTAGTCTTTACTGTTCTGGTTTGTGGTTATCACCATGTTATTTTGCTTTAGTCTTAGACTTATCCATTGCAATGTTTCATAACCCTTCTCTACTTTCAGATTGAGGACCAAGTTTCCTTATGATAATCAGCAAACAAATCCAGGCTTTGTGCTGAGTCCAGTCATGCTGCAAAGAAATATAAGTGGGGAGAATGCCAGTATCAAGGTTTCTATAGAAATTGAAGAATTCCAGCAACCAGTAACATTTACATGTGATGGTATGTTTTTGCTTTTGAAATTGGAGTTTGCTTGTAAGACTTAAAATGGTGAGTTAAGACTGTACACTCAGTCTAGGCCAATGCCTTTCAGTTTTTATAATCCCTGGGTCTCAGGTGCGTGGATTACTTGTGGGAATGTGGAAAAGGTAACTGAGGAAAGAACCTAATTCTGGGTCTTTGCTTCCATCAGGAATTACTTAGAAGCCGACAAAGTGAAACTTTTTTTTAAAAAGGAAAGCCAAGCAAACCAGAAGCAGTATTCTATCCATGGCTGGGAATGTTAAAACAGTTTTTCAAGAGTTTGACCTACTTTATGGTAATTGAGGGGACGATGACACCAGGACTGAGATTCTTAACTTTATTTTTTTATTTCAACATTCTAACGTATGTTTATATAAATTCTTGCAGGCTATCTAAAAATTAAAACAGATTGCTTTTGGGAAATAAGAATAAACACTGAAATTATCTATTACTTGACTTCAATATATACTTATGAACACAAACACTAAAATAATACTTTTGTAATGTGCCACAACTATCTGGCCCAGTTTTGTGGGTAACTAGGAGAATTAGTTTGGGGTGGAACTTAGGTTTGGCTTGTTCTTGCACATAAATTCATATTCTCTGAGCAGTCACGACTGCTCAGTGTGTTTGCATTAAAGGCTGTAACTCTGGATGCTATGAACTTCTGGCAGTTCTTTGAGGTAAAATAACTGATAATAAATTGCCTCAGAAGCAACTTACTTTTTAGCCTCTCTACTGCTGTAATCTCTTGGCCCTTGTGAGGGTTCCCATTCCCAGATGGTGTCACCTCATAGCAGATCTGTGCTGTGGTGGTTTTTTTTTTTTGGTTCTCTGTCTGTGACAATGTAGATCCTTTAGAGTTGGTTGTTCTCAAAAAACACGAAGTTGCTGTGTTACTCACTTAAACTAGCTGCTCTATTGGAAAACAAGCTCTCAGTGCATAAGTGTTTTCACTCTATATTCATTTGCTGGGCCTCATATTTACTCTGCTGTCATTTAATGCTCTTTTGTTAAGAAATGAGGTGGACTGTAAGTGTAGCCTAGGAAGGTTTCTGCTCTTCATCCTTAAGATTACACTTTCTTAATATTATGGACTTAATCCTTTCCTACAAAAGGCTTTGACAGCGTAACTAAAATGTTATGGCTTCAGCCCTTTATTTCTAGAGGTTTTGTGAATACCTTGGAACGTGTTTTGCCTTTTAGACCCATGTATCTTATTCTTTCTGCTCTCTTCCTTTTTCTGATGCTGAAACTAATCACAGTTAAACTACTTATCTTCAGTAGCTAGTGAAAGGTAGGTGTCCATAGCTCATACATGACAAGTAGTGGGTGTATTTAAAGTTATCTTCCTTTAATTCCTCTGCTCTTTGTCAAATTGTTATGTACCTTAGCGTCCTAATGCTAGAACTACTTCAGTATGGCTTTCAGTCCTGCTCAGAAGGAACTGCAGCCTTTCAGAGTTCTCAGCTCGACATGTAGAAAGGACCTGGGAGGGAAAAAGATGAACTTTAGAGCTTATTTGGTTATATCTATTCATTTTGCATTTATTACACTTTACATGGAAGTACAAGTCTACCTGAGCAATCATTGTATGTCAGCAAGAAATTAATGTCTTTGAATAAGAGGGAGGATGGGAAAAAGATGGTAACATAGCTTTGCAGGACCAGCAGACCTTCGCCAGTGCAGCCTGTGACTATAGCCCACAAACTGTTACTGCATCTTTTTTCTCTGTCAACCACCATATTCTCTGCTGAAAGTAGTACAGCAGTTTCACTCTAGATTAATAAGGAGTTAAATAGTGTTTCTGAATTCATACTTCTTATAATTCCTTGTTCTTGAATTCCACATACTCATTCTTTATATGCCAGCAAATACCTCTGTGCTTGTAATAATTAGTTGTCTGTTAATAAGATGAAGCATTTGTGTTATCTTGTGGAAAATACTGTTGTGTCATTACCTCTTTGTATCCATCATACTAGTAACTTATTAAAAAAAAAAAAAAAAAAATTGGGAAAATTAGGAAGGTCCCTGGAGGGGAAAAAAACACTGTTTTTTTTACTCTGAAAGTACTGGTTAAAAAATAAAATCTTCTATAGAGTTTTTGTTACAGAATTTTGTGGAACTTAGTGATATTGTTTGCGAATGATTCAAAGGAGATGGTCAGAAATGAGGTAGGGACGGGTAGAGAGCATTTTGTACTTAAAATGTTTGTGCTATTAAAACATATCTATGTTGGGTTTTTTTTGTCAGTGACAGCTGGTGGCTGTGGGGGAACAGATTTTGGGTTTGACTGAGATTATTTCTTTTGCTCTGTGGTTGCTGGATGGAAGAGAGAGGCTGTTCTCAAAAAGTTATCTGGAGCCTGATGTGAAAGTACTGGTAGTTAAGAATTGCTTTTTGCAAAGGCTTTGGTGATGCTTACTGAGATCTGATGTGTACAATGTGGAAACTGCCCTAGACAAATATAAAGGGAAAAAAAAAAAGGTCTTTAAGCAGGATTTGCCTGTGCTACAGCTGATACTCAGTTCCTCAAAAGCAGAAAAAATAGAAGTTCCTTCTCCAACTCTTCAGATAATGTTTTTTAAACTTTAGGCTGCTCTGGGATCACTTACCTATTTGAAGTCCTTGCTAAATAAGGCAAATTTATAATAAAAAAAAAGCTATCCTCATATTAAAACTGCTGGAAAACAGACTGCAAACTGTTTTTGTACTTTTGGTCAAGTGACTACACTGTATCCTAATTTTAAAAAGTATTTATTGATTTCTTAAACTACAGACAGGTTTTATAAGATGCCTTTCTTTGTGTGGAAAAAAGGGAAGATCTCAAACTATGCAATTTAGGAGATTTTAGAAGCATAAGAGTCTTCCCTACAAGTGTAAAAATAAATTTCATTAAATAGCTATAATTTATGAGTGCCTAATGGTTAATATCACTTGCTGTAGATTTATATTTAACTTTTAGGTGTAATTTGTTTTAACAGTGAGTTCCCCTGTTGAGCTTATAATAATGCAGGCACTTTGCTGGGTGCATGATGACTTGAATGAAGTGGACATTGGCAGCTATATCCTGAAAGTCTGTGGCCAAGAAGAAGTTTTACAGAAGTAAGCAAACTCTTTTTCATTAATATTTAACTTCATGCTTTTTCGTGGCACGGCTACTGTAAAGTATTTCTTTAACAATTAAATGTGTGAAAACAGAAGTTGTAAAAATGTAGAAGAGTCACACTTTGCACAAAGATCAAAAGTCTTTAGAGTTGCTCTGGGATACAGCAAAGTAGGTTCTCAAAAGCTTCCTAGAAATCTGTTCTAATCTGCCATCTGTTGTGCTGAACACAGGTTTTGGGTTTTTTTTTCAGATGCAGATTTCTAGAACATTTATGTTATAAATTTCAGGTGCTTTTCAAATACCAGCAACCAGGAAAAAAAATATACTGATGATTTTTAATAATCAGAAATAATCTATGGTTTGGCTTTTTTTTTGGGGGGGGGGGGGGGTGGGGTGGGGTGGGGTGGTGTTTTTTGTTTTTTACAAAACTCATGGTTTACAAATCCCCATTAGTTTTCTGGGTTAGGATATTTGGTTTCATTTTTACCCAAGGAGTTAAGAGCTCTACAAAAAGATAGGTATCTGTATTATTATACTAAAACTTCTCCAGAAGTAAAAATCAGATATAGTATGGTGTGGAGATTGCTTCATCGTTTTCTTAGTTTGAGCCAACAGGTTGCCTTAAATATTCCCTGTGAATTTTCTGAAAAACACCACATATTTTTAGTGTAACTATAGCTCTCTTGTTTAACAGTAAGCACTGTGTAGGAAGTCATGAATATATTCAGAACTGTCGGAAGTGGGATACAGAAATCAAACTGCAGCTCTTGACCCATAGCGTAATATGCCGAGATCTGGCACGAACAGTAAGTACCTCCTAAGCTGCTGCAGCAGTGTAAATCTTCAAGAGGTTGGGAGCTTGCATCAGAATGGATGAGTCTGAAGCGTAACCTCTTTTGAGCGATTAACAATTTAATATGTCTGCTTGGTGTTGGTAATTGTATTCTCTTATACTAAAAGGAAATGAAATACATACTGAATCTTTGCAAGGCAAATAATGTAAATATGGATAATGTCTTTTACTAGTACTTTAGACAAAGTACTATAGCTGGAAAAAGTATGCAAGTATTTGGACTAAAATTGAGGCCTGAAAGAAAAGCAGCAAATTTCAGAGTTAAATAAAAGTTGAGAACAGTTTTTGAGTTTAATTAGATATGTATCAGGCCATCAAAGAGAAAGGGAGGAATATCTGATACCTGCATAGTTAGGCTCTCAATTGCTGTTTCTTCCCTCTTCCCCTTGTCCCAATGTGTACGCGTTTCATAGGTTATTAACTTGTTATTTCTTTTCTCCTGTGGAGAGATCATTTTATATCTTTCCCCTTCCACTCCACAAGTATTAGTAATGGAACTTATGAAACAGTATTACGAATTATAGATAGGTGAGAACTGGACTTAATATCTAATATTTTATTGCAGGAAGAGGATGACAGAACACCCATACATCTAACCAAACACCTTTACAAAGTAGAGAAGCCTTTCAGAGAACCTATTATAAGGTAATATTGTGTGGTTATTTTAGTAATCAAGCCCACTGCTGAATTTCTGACCAAGGTTATCTTACGCTCTTGCACTTGTGTTCAGTCGTTACTATTTCTTGCAGGTCTTCAATAGAAGAGCTTCTTGATGTGTATCACAAGCAAGTTAACATAGCTCTGAAAAATGAGGTAAGGGTATCATAAATTATTGCTGAACCAAAAGTAGCATGAGAAGGTTTACTAATGAGATAGTTTGGAAAGAAAGACTTGCAGGTATTCTTGGGGAAGCTGAGATCCGAACAAGCTGTCAAATGTAAATTTGGAATAATGGGTTTTTAGATTACTTTTCCTCTTTTCTTCCTAGCTTTTCCTGCTAACTAAATATTACCTAATTGTCACAACTAGAAATGTATCTTCCATGTCTTAGGGTCCAAAATAACCTTTTCCTTAAAAATGCTGGAAGAGATTAATGTAAGGGACTAGGGAAAAGGTCTGAATCCTGACTATGTTAGTTGTCAGCCATGAATGGTATTTTAGTAACAGATAAAAGTCTACACAGTAGTGAGCAGTAATAGTTGTATACAATGGGAGTTATAACTGAAGCATGTTTGGAATGTACAAGTACGTTTCACACAAAGTATAATGACATCTTATTTTGCACTGTTGGATTAATTTAAAATACAAAAATATTGCCTTTTTCGGTGTATGATAGGTAGCTTAGAACAGCTTGTGTGTGGAGTAGTGTGAAGTAATTTCCCAAATGCAAAAGCTAGCTGAAGATGACCTGCTTCACTTTTTTTTTTAAAAGGAGAAGCTTAGTTTAACTCCTGATAGTAATATAATTTGGATACTTAAATTCTTAAACATTAGATAGCTATGTTTCTTAAACAGTTTCTGTAAGAACAGTCTTGAAAGGAATGACTTAATTACAATACTTTTCATTTCCACTGTGTTGTTTGCCTCTCCAGGAATGCAGGTCTGAACAAGCTGATGTCCACTATTTACATATTCCCTTAATGTTATTTAATTCCCTTTGTGATTCACACTGTTCTCAAGGGTAGTTTTGAACACAGTATTTTTTGTAGAAGAGTGAGAAGTTACTGCTCCTTGTTATGGTGGTGTTTTTGTTGCTTTGCTCTTGCAGCTGCTTCAGCTTGCTTGTTTAACTGTGGTTTCACAGGCTGAGGTGAGGAATGCAAAACATCTCAATTCAGACTTATGTCCTACTCTTTCTACAGTCTTTTTGAGGATGGGAGATGGAGCTTGTAGGTGATGATGATGAGGTCCAAATATTAGGAGTTGTTGCATTTGAAATTTTTTACTTTCTGAAGTGAATTCCTGTACATATGCAGTAGCTGAATCTTGCTAATCAAAGTGAAACAGGGTAAAGTAATCTGTAAATAACTTGTTTATAGTCTTTACTTTCATGTTATTGTGCACTTTAAAAGTTAGCCATTGTCTTTTTATTGAGATTAATATGAAAGTCTATGAGGAAAATAGCAGTGGAAATTTTGCTTTTCATGTGCCAAACCAGCTATTATCTTCAAAGTGTTAGCTTTCAAAGTATGGCTTAAATATTTACAGTGTCTTCTGACTTTTATGGTTATTTTCTTACTAGGACAAAGTTAATTGTTGCCAGGTAGCTCCCAATCCCTACTCCTATGTTTTTGGAATTGATAACTGAGCTATAAGGAAGTTCTCAATACTGAGGGTTTTGTTTAATGCAATTGTTGCACCACAGTTTAATGATATGCATCTCATAATGAAATTTTATTGGCAATTCATTCTCAAAAAAAAAAAAAAAAGTGCTACTGTTTTTCACAGTTGTGATTGGACCAATCTATTCTTTCATACGTTCCTTATTAGAACCAGCATAAAGCAGTAGATCACGTAATTAAGACTGTCAGAAAAATCTGTTCTACATTGGATTGTGTAGAGACTCCCGCAATAACGGACTCAGTAAAGAAGCTAAGGAGGGCTGTTAATCTTCCAAGGACTAAAAATACTGAGGTAAACTTTCACACTATAAATTGCATTCTCAGGTATGCTTTTTAACACTGATAAATACTATTTCGTAACCTTCGATAGCTGCAGATACCAGGAACAGTTCAGCCAGGGTTATGTGCCTGGGTTTTCTGTTTTATATTTTTTTTTATTTTGCCTGATATCTTCTATTTATTTTAACATCTCTTTGCTGTTAATGTATTAATCACTTGCTCTGGGAATCCTTTCCTGTTATAAGTAGTGACTTTGTAAAAAACTAATTTTAGAGTACTTTTTCTGGTTCTGTAAATATAGACTTGTGTCACAGTGTATGTACTAAATCTGAGCAAGGGAAGCTGACAGCTAGCTCGTGCCCTCTAAAATCAAGGCAGTTATGCTTAAAGGAGCAATTAGCGTAACTTATTTTCTGTGCAGTATTTATGTGAATAGCAACAGCATCTTAAAAATCTAATAGTTCATGCTCCTGCATTCCTGAGCATATTGACAAAAATAAAAATCTCTCCAATAGCACAGATTTTGATGATAAAACTGCCTTACAATGCACAGTTCACTAAAGCAGAATTGGTCTCAAGTCCTGTAGTCAAAAACAGTCATTAAATGGAGAAGTGTGCAGATAAAAAGCTGAATTGTCTTGTAATGCTATTTCTGTTGTCCTGCTGCCTTATTAGAGTGGCAATTCCCGTGCTGTTCTACTCAGTTTCAGCTTCGTTCAGTTCAATGATCTATTTGCAATACTGAGGAGAAGGCTTGCAAAATGCATGGACCAAATAAATACAGTTGTCATAAGAGCTAAAATTCTTGCAGGGAAATGCAGAAGACGTATTAAGAAAACTTAGTAAAATACAGTATGTAAAATATTTCTTCAATTTTTGCTTTTTGATAGGAGAAAGCTCTAAAAATAACTTCCAAAAATAATGCTATTCCAGTAGAATTCTTAAAAGGTACTTTTTTATCAGTAAAATCCTGCAATTCTCTTGTGATGAGCATTACTGTTTAAGCCAATGTGTATGAAGGCATTTAGGTTTGCTTTAAGAAATTAAATTACTGTAAAATAGGAGCCAGTTTAATCTAAACCTTATGTAAGATATTGTTTGTTGTTTTGTTTTTGGTTTTTTTAAGTAGTTGTTTTGTGGTTGGAAGAAGTGGCCAAAAAGTAAAAGAAAACAGTAGACTGTCAAGTAGAAAATTACATGTATAGTGCTGTTTCAACAGTTTGGTATCCTGTCACCCAAAAGTACTTGGACTGCTTGACAAGTAGGGTGGAAACATAATGGCAGCTTTTCTGAAAGGAGAAAATGATGTGATTTAAATTTTTTTCTCCATAAGTTTCTGCATGTTTTTTTATAAGAATATGAAGTTTTTTGGTAGTCAAAACTTAATATTGGTAAGATGCTCAATTAATACACTAAAAGTGTAAGGAGAGCTTTCATTCCTCTCCAGCAGTTGTGGCAAACTTCTTAGACTTTCTCTGAAGCATTAGGAATTTGCTGGGTTTTGGTTTTAAATCACAAACTTAGTTTTCATTAAAAGTTTTTGTTTTATTAGAAGTTGAATTTGGCATGAAACCCTTCCTTATGAGAAGGGAGTAAATTCCCATTATTTGTTTGTCACCTTTTGGCTTCATCAGTGTCCTTGTTGAGACTAGATATTGCTGTAATGCTGTATCATGTTTAGTCTTCCAGTTCAGCAGACCAAGAAGCAAACAGAGCAGATAGTACAACGTGACAGTACTTGCTGTTCAGTTTTCTCAGTTGTTTTAACGTGGGGTTTTTTTCAGTAAATTTATAGTTTACTCTGTCTACAAACAATACCTTAGCAAATGCCACAAGAAAACAGCAATTCAGACTTAAATTACTGGGTAGTAGAGCTAAGAGCTTCTGCTTTCATCCATAACAGCCCTGACCAAGTTTTATCTCTACTCAGAGCAGTAAGAATATCCTGAGCAATATTCCAATGTACTCTGTCTTTTAAAAGTTCATAAAGGGTGACTTGTGACTTGACAAAACCTGAGCTGTTGAACTTCATTATTAGTTGCTGCATGATACGGAAACTGCGATGTCAGTTAACTCTTGAGGAACTTGGAGGAAAAAGATGTGTTACATAAACCCAAATATGGACCTAATTCTGATGTTTCTTAATTTCTGTACAATATACTTAAGAGCAGTGGAAAATTAATATGGGTTTCTTAATACTGAAATTTTCTCAACTTTACTGTGTAGGTATCCTTAAAATGTAGTGACGACACTAGCAAGAGCTCGTCTGGTGAGTGAAGTTCTTAAATTTTATTTAAAAACTTGCTTTCAAGTGGGTGTTTTAGGAAGCTATACATTAAAAATAAATTATAATTTAGATTCACTGCAGCCTGAAAACCCTTTGAAAGTGAGTGTAGACCAGTTAACAAGAGCAGTTGAGGCCCTTCTGCGACTCCACATGAATTCGTGTAGTAGATCTGCAGCAATTTCTCCAAAAGATAGCAGGAGTACTAAGGAAGCATGGACTGCCACAGAACATCTCCAGTTCACAATATTTGCTGCACATGGAATCTCTCCTGGTTGGGTATCAAAGTGAGTAATTTATTAATTGTAAAATTCATCTGTTTATAAATTTTTTTGTTGTTGTTTATTTGTTTATTTTACATTCTTTTCCTTGTCCAGTTATGAAAAATACTACTTGATTTGTTCTCTGAGCCATAATGGAAAAGATCTGTTTAAACCTATTCAGTCCAAGAAGGTTGGCACATACAAGAACTTCTTCTACTTGATTAAATGGGATGAACTGTAAGTGACTTTAGCATGTTAAACTCACTAAAACACTTTGTTTTAGCTAGTACCTACCTGCTAGCTGCTGAATATAGTCATTCAAGCAACTCTTGCTTCTAATTCTATTTGAAGTGTTAAAAGAACAATGTGTGAGACATACTGACCAAAATTAGAAATATGGTTCCAAATGGAATTTCACTCATTTTAAAAGTGGGAATGGAAATGCTGGACAAGTGTCCTGTGCTAATGTGTTTGTTGTATACAATTATAAGGAGCTGGGAAGGTCATAGCATTCCTTGTAATGGGAACAGCTTGTTCTGCTTTAAAGAAGGATGAGTAAAACTTGTGTATAAGCAGTGCTCAAATTATGTGAATGAGGAGGAAAAGCAACTCACTTTTACTAACATTAATGCTGAATCATTCTTTTGTTACAAATAAAGTGTAACAACTTCGTATCTGAATTTAAACATCCAATTTAGAATTCTTTCATAAAGAGAGCAGATGCATCAGTGCTTAAGAGTATCTGTCTACAGCATATGAGAATGTCTGGTTTGAGCTACTACAGTTTCTCTTTATAGGGCAGGGGAGAGAAGAAACAGGGTGTTATCTGATAACTAAGAGGGGAAAGTATTTTTCACTGTGTAGGCACAGCTTACTCTTTTCCACGTAATAGTTCTCGGGCAGCCTGTGAGAACTGAAGCTTCAGGTGAGCTCCACGTTGCCCTATATCTATTTTCCTGACTCATTTTGAAGGTCAGAGGTAAACCCCGAGGAATACCCTGCAAGTCTGCAGTGACAAATTATTTCAGACCAGGAATGAGACTTGAGGTTCTAGAATACCTGCCTTCAGAGAGTATCCCAACTACCCCTTTTTCTTTTTTTCCCAACGATGCAAGGGATTAATTGTCAGATCTTTTGCTAGCAAGTACTATTAATAGTGTTACAGTGAAAGATGTGTTATATTAAGAAGCTTATACACAATATAATTGTAGTGTGTTATAGTGTAACTGGCTTAGCAATATGCTGTGGTAACTTTTAGAATGATATTTTGGTATGTTATAGAAAACCAAACTTAAACAACATTTTAAGCAATAAAATCAGTGTAAACAAAAAAAAGTGAGTTTGAATTGCTCAGTGAGGTGTATACTCCTCAGCTGCTTTCTTTATGGGTGCTTGTTTTGTACCATTTAAATTTAGCTTTCAGTAGTTCCTAAATGGCACGCTATTGTCAGCTGACTCTAAATCAGAGAGATTAGAAGGCAGCTAACATGGAACTGTCTGTGTGCTCGTAGTGAGTAGAGTGGGAAGACTGGTTATGCTGGACAGTGTGGTTCTGTGTAAGGAATGTGATTTAATAGACAAGGATTTAAAAAGGGTTGTTCCAAATCTGGCTACAGCGCAGAAGCATAATTTAGCAGGTTTTGCAAAGTATTGATACGGGAGATAAAGCAGAGTGAAATATAATTGCATAGAAATGTAACACTTGTTCTTCAATCAATGATAATTAACTTTTTGAAAGCAAGAAGTATCAACAAGTTATAAGGATAAGCCTGTAACTTACAACTGTCTGTCCTCTGACTGACTTATTTTTAATACTTTTACAGAATAATTTTCCCCATCCAGATTTCACAGCTGCCTTTGGAATCAGTCTTATGTCTCACTTTGTTTGGAATCTTAAATCAAAGTAGTGGGAATTCTCCTGACTCAAATAAGCAGAGAAAGGGCCCAGAAATTTTGGGTCAGGTTTCTCTACCTCTTTTTGATTTTAGGCGGTAAGTATCCAAAAATATAAGTAAGATTGGTAGTATGATTTACTCTCTAGAAAGCTTACCCCACTCCCATAACTATTAAGTATGTTGCAGAAGATCACACCATTGCAAAATAGCTTCAGGATTTATGCTCAAGATTTCCTATTTATACATGCTTCTGACTTCTTGGTCTTACTAGAATCTTAAATTATTTAATTGTCACCCAAGGCTGCCCAGAGACAACAGAGTCTTTCCGGGACAGTTACTTCTATGTATTGATTATGTCTGTTCCAAGTTGTTTGCATCCTCTTATTCTAGATGTGTATCTACTTGTTCCACTTCCCCTCTTGTGTGGTGATGATTCCAACATCTTGGGGGTGTTTAGAGAGTTTAGGCTTTCTTGCATTGCAAAGGGAGCCTGCAGCTGCCTCCAGTCAGTCAGAAACTTGTAATTCTTCTTATAAATGATGCTTATTTCAGCTTTATGTTGAAATGTTGCAGTTCAGTCTCCTATCTAAAGATCACATTTCGCAGTATTTGATTGAAAACATAGCTTTTGTTTTGATGTGAATTGCAAATTTCTGTTGTCTTCATGCTGCATGATGTTCTCGTAGTAGTTAGTTTGGAGAGAAAACTGTATTTTGTTTATGCACAGCACCACAATAATATGTTGTGCCAGGGTTTCCTGAATGGCCTGTATATGGCAGCTGTAGAGATGCTAGTGGTCTAATCCACTTGCAGTCTACATAAATTAAATCCCGACCTAGGTAATTTAAACCATACTAGCCAAATATTCCAGTTACAGTTGAGAATAGCATCAATAACAGGCAGAAGCTAAAACTTTTGGCTAACTAAAACATAGGAAGAATAAAAGGTCATATATGTGCTTTGAAAGAATCTGTAGTCAAGTTAAAATCCCTTCAGGTGAAGTGTGTGTGGAGTGGCTTAACAGATCTTTACTTGTGGATGAGACAGAGGCTGTGGCAAGTATATTCAACTGGAGAATATTAAAAAGAGCAAGCTGTTCAGTTATGCTTTAGTGGCATGATTTAGTAATTTTTATTGGCATCATAAGCTCACAGTTAATCAATATTTACATATAAAGAACTGTTCTTTCTCTGAAACATAGAAACCCTAAAACATCTTTCAGAATATACTAAAGGCTTGGCCTTCAAGCAGTCTTTCGAGACTGTATTTTGATTTTTAAAGACTGATAGAAGTTTTCTGTGCCTAACATTTGACACTTCAGTGATATATGAAGTATCCTCAGTTGTGCCTTACTACAACTGAAAATGATATTGATATTGGGGAATAAACTGGCAAATGCAAACATCATCTGATATGCGCTTGCAGAATCTAGTAATGTGGAAAGTCCGTGCAAATGGCCTTGTCTATAATATTGATATGTCTGTGCCTTTTTTCCAAGAAGGTAAGAAGATGTGTGCGTGTCCAGCTTATTCCTCACAGGCAAAAGTATTCATTTTCTCCCCTAAGAAATAGGGAGCACTTAGTTTAGCTGGGTCAGCTGTGTCTACACTGAACTTTCCTTTGCCTTTTCACCTAAAAACTGTATGCAGTGTTTTAAAGGACTTAAAGTACAGAAGACATCCAGTGAAAATAAATAAAATAATTTGACACTTGATCATAACTCCCTTTTTTTAAGCTCCAAACTGTATTGGCTAGTACTGTTTGATTTCCTATGTTCTTTTCTGAACATCAAAGTTTAAATACTCGTAATAAGATAAACTCTTATCTCTGCAGTAGAAACACATAACTGGGTTTGAACTGTCCTTCTATGCCATAGTAACATTTTGGAATTGTTTCCGTGTAGTGATCTTCTCCAGATAGTATTTTAATAGCTAATATCTGGAAGTAAACAGATTGTGACACTAATACCTGTACCTGCATTTTTTTTTTTTTCTCAGATTGTTAACTTGTGGAACAAAGCTCTTGCAGCTCTGGACCTCATCCCATCCACATCAAGCATCAGGGATGGGCAGTAAGAAAGGAAATATGGAAAGAATAGTATTGCAGGTTATATTTAATTCTGACTGTGCTTTGTTTGAATGTTGTGACTTGTAACTCTTACATGAATGTTAATAGATCAATTAATGTTTTGGGGAGAGTGTAAATATTGCTAAGCCATATTTACAAGCCAATATGGAATAGTAATTACTGAGCATTAAGGGCAAAGAATGGAAGGCTGCTCTAAGTGTATACAAGTCAAGTTATTGAATCACTATCTTGAAGTAAGAGAAATTGGAAATGCCTTGGTAGTACATGCTATCAGTACTGGGAGAGAAAATCTTTGAAAAGCAATCTGTAGAGATGTGTGCTGAGAAGGGAGTTGGCTAGACCCAAACAATGGCAGTTCCAGTTTCTTTACAGAACAAAAGCACCACTCATTCTAAATTCAGAGTCCACATTTCTCTTCAGGCATCTCTTTAGGCATAGTTTAGCAATCCCAAAACACGGTTGGAGTTGGTGGTTGGGTTGAAACTGTTAATAGTTCTGTGATTAGTCTTCACTCTAAGCATTCTCATGTCACTTCTGAGGAGTACTCCAACTACTGGATTGTGCAAAAACACAATTGTCCTATGTTTAAGAACCATAGTTAAGGAGCAGAACTGAGATTGGAAAAACTATTTGGGAAACAGTATCTGAAAATGGTTACACTTGTAGAACTAAAGAGTTCAGATGCTTAAACATCTAAGGCTGCTGAAAGGGGGAGCTTTTTGTTCTGTTCTTAAGGACTTGCATCATCTCTTCTTTTTTTTTTCTTTTTGTTTTTATTTAGATTGACTTTCCATCACCTGCTTTTGATATTGAATATAAAATTCCTCAAGCCGCAAAGACTACTGTGCATCATTCCATAGAAACATTAGAAAAACCATTGAGAGAACGTCTTCTTGCCATTATCTCCAAGGATAACACTATTGGGTATGTTTTTCTCTTTCTACATATGGTCTCTTTGTATGTGACAATTCATGGCTAGGATATGGAATGGTTATTTACTCTTAAATTTCTTTACTATGGTTCTAGTATATTTTGAAGACCTGTGGAGACTTAAACAAGAGATTGAATTAAACTTGCAAAACAATAGTGCTCACTTAATGGATTTACTTGTGCTTTCTATGGCTGGACAATATTATGTCCTGTTACAAGTTCACACCCCTTTTGGTTGCCTGTTATAAATGCCTGTTCCTGCTTGGCAGTTCTTCAGTTACAGGAAGTAGTGACAGTTTCTGCAGTGGCTGTTCATATGCCATGGAAGCTTTTCTGACAGGCTTTCCCACTAACATGAACATTTTGGTTTATTTCAGATCATACTAAAACTTATTTTTGTCCTGCACAAATTATGATGTTGAACAATTGTTTCCATAATGTTTGAGGTTTTATTTGGCTTCTTGTTTTGACTTTTGTGGAGGAAATAACCATATTAATTTCATTTAGTTTTGTATGTTAAATCATCTATATAAATACGATTACCAGTAAGTAGCATTGGGGTTATTCAGGTGATGGTTTTGAATGTGCTGTCCTGGTAAACTGAAATGCTTTTGTCTGCAGGTTGTCAAAAGAAGATAAAGAATTTCTGTGGGAGAAGAGACATTATTGTCATAGTCATACTAGTAGCCTGCCAAAAATATTGGTTAGTGCCCCTCACTGGGACTGGGCAAGTCTTCCAGAAATATATTCATTACTTCAGCAGTGGCCTCCTTTATCACCCTTAGCTGCACTGGAACTACTTGATTCAAAGTAAGAAAAACAATGTAAATAAGTTCTCTGTGTTGTGCATTAAATTATTCTTCTTCAGTAGAAGCTTCTGAATGGGATTTTTGTGGAAAATATTGCTGAATTTCTTGTAGCACAAGCTAAATTTTCTTAAAATTTTGAAGAAGAGATTTACTTAATCCATGTAGGCTTAACCAGGTCATGTAATGAAAGAATAGCAATACTGGTTAGGATTCTGAAATCTAATTTACAATAGGAGAGCAAGACTGACATGTTGAGATATTCATGTGCTTGTCCTAAACATACACATGTATTTGCACCTTAGGTAATGAAGGGCCTCAAACTTGTAGGTCCTTTACTGAGCTATTAAAGCCTTTATATTGGTTCTTTTGATCCATTGGTCTAGCTGATCTCTAAAAAGAAAAAAAGAATCTTACATGAACAGAATAAACTTAATGTGGCTTTGTGATGACTTCCTAGGTTTGCTGATCAGGAAATACGAAGTACAGCTGTGAATTGGATAGAGACACTAAGTGATGATGAGTTAACAGATTTCCTCCCTCAGTTTGTGCAGGTAAGACTTTCTGCCTGCACTGAAGTTTGAATTTTTTTGTTCTTGAACACCTAAAGGAATTGCTGGTTACTAGTAGCAGAAGTGCAATTGTATGCCTCTATGCTTAATGACCTTAATGCATGGTATGGGAAACTATTTGAGTAATAATCGCTCTCTGTCCTATGGAGTTGTGGTGATTCTGTCTGTGCGTTAGTCATAAAATCTCAATCTTCATCTAGAACTAAATCCAGACCCAGTTTATTTAATTTTCTTTGTGTTTAGGCATTGAGGTATGAAACCTACCTTGACAGTGCTCTTGTCAAATTTCTTCTGGCTCGGGCACTGGGAAGCATTCGAATAGCACACTACCTATATTGGTAAGAAGTTCTTTGTTCCATTGTTCACTTAATGTTTACGGTAGGATTAGTATTTCCAGAAAAAAAACCTCATTATTTCATAATATCATAGTTCAGAACAATGAATATTAGAGAGTAGAGAATGTTGATCCCATTTTTTTAATTAAAAAAACAGACAGTGCCTCTACAAGGCACAAACTTCTTTTCTTTCATATCGTCTATATTAGTAACTTCAGATATATATAGTACTGATTCATTAAAATATTTTAATGTCTTAGTATTGCATTGTTTGCAGTATTTTCCTTAGGAAAATTTAACTTGAATCATTTATTTCAGGCTTCTTAAGGATACACTGTATGATACAAAGTTTGGTGTAAGGTATGAGCAAATTCTTGGAGCTTTTCTTTCAGTCTGTGGAAAAAGGCTAAGGGAAGAGCTTGAGAAGCAGACCAGACTGGTGCAGCTTTTTGGAATGGTAGCAGAAAGAGTAAAGCAAACAAGTGGATCTGCTCGGCAGGTGTGTATGTATTTTTAATGTACTTTAGGGAGATTAGACTGAGTATACCCTCAAAACAATCCACTCAAATACCTTTTTAGTCTTAAGTTCAATAAAATGTTACTTATATATAGAGGAAGACCTATGAATCAATTGCTCTGCATATTAACAAGATATAATGGCTTAATGCAGTTGATGTTTTTGTCAGATTTGTTGTCATCTGAAACATGAAATTGTGTGAGGTGATAGAGTAAGAAAGTAGGATGGTTTCTGTGTACAGTAAACTGGAATTGGATTTAAACCTATTACTGCTGAAGAATGATCTCATTATACAAAAGAATGGAATATCTTTATGTGCTAATATGAATCCACAGTTTGATAGAGTGGGATGCTATCATCTGGTCTAGTAAAAAAAAAAAGTCACAAACTTGGGTGATATTACTGCTAGGCTTATGTATTTTTAATAGTTAAAACAGCAGTTATAATCTCTAGTATTCCTTTGACACTAGGGAATTAAAACATTGGCTTCAGGATAACTTTGTCCCAAAGTCTTCTGGAGATGCTTCAGTCAGGAAAATGTCAGCTGACTTCTTTTGACATTTTTGTTTGTTTGCAGGCTGCCTTGCAAAATGGCATGGAACGTGTGCAGTTATTTTTCTTGAAGAACAAATGCCGTTTGCCTCTCAATCCCAGTCTTGTGGCAAAAGAGCTAAATATTAAGGTACTACACTTTGAGAGTTTCAAAACCTTTTTGTAAAAATTACATACAGGTAAAGCTTTTATAAATAGAGAAAAAAAAAGAGGTGCTGGAGGAGAGCATTTTAATTAAAAATTCTGATTGCAGAAGGCAGTGAAATTAGCTGAGCAAAGATAAATTTATACAGATAATTGTATAAAACCAGTGAAGGTACTTGTACTAAATATA